CACACACACACACACACACACACACACACACACACACACACACACCATACAAGGTAATCAATGTTTTGCTTTGAACCCATACAGCAGATATCATAGCATCTGATCTTACAAGAACTATCGCTAGTAGTAAATGTTTATCTTAAAGGGATCATTCAGGGTTTTTTTTAAGTCATGTTTTGAGGAGGCGGCACAGTGGCACAGTTGGTAGAGCTGCAGCCTCTCAGCGAGAAGGTCGCCGGATTGAATCCCAGTCGGGGGCCTTTCTGGGTGGAGTTTGCATGTTTTCTTCGTGCATGCGTGGGTTTTCTCTGGGTACTCCGGTTTCCTCCCACAGACCAAAAACATGCATGTTAGCTGATGGGTAACTCTAAATTGTCCCTAGGTGTGAGTGAGAGAGTGGATGGTTGTCTTGTTTATCTTTGTGTGTCCCTGTTATGGACTTGTCCACAGTGTCCTCTGCCTCTCGCACAGTGATAGCTGGACATGGGCACCAGTGACCTCCGCTACCCAAACAGGAAGAAGCAAGTAAAATATAATGGACGTATGTTTTGGAAACATTATGAACAATTAGTATCTTACTTGCCGTAGATAATATGGGCTACACTGTAAGTGCTACAGCTAGCTGTGCTGATGTTCAATGTTTTATGTTTTGAGTGCTTAGTGTATATTTAGTTGATGTTTTTCTTAGTTCATATCTTAGATGTTATTACTGTTTTTCTTATACATTTTATTGTTGGATGTAACTGGGACCCCGTGTACATAATTTCGCTCCACCACATGTACCACATGAGGTGCGAATGACAATAAAGAAACTCTGACTCTGACTCTGACTCTGACTCTGACTAGCTGCTGCTGCTGCCATTTGTTGCACTTGGAAATGCTGTAGCCGTAGAATTTGGGATGTGAAAATGACATGTAATGTATAAATTTATACAATAAAGTTTACATAAACCACAAGCAAATCTTGGAGATTTGAGTTGTTTTCAGATGGCAGCAATTCACTATAATTTTGCTTTCTTGATTTGATTTGTCAGACTCGCTGCGTTTTTTCATTTGATGAGAATTAAACTCAACTTCTTCAAATTTGGGTGATTCAAAAAGCTTTTTACAACAGGTGAGATATTATTAACATTTTAAAAATATTCTCGGGGCCCCAGGCTGCACTGGAAGTATTATAGCTACATGCTGCTCCAACTATTCGTATAAGCAAAAAAACATTCTACTAACTACTATGACCTTTTTGAGATTTTTTTTAACCATTTAAAAAAGTATTGTGAAAAGGATAAAAGGCCGCACTATCATAGCAGCATCTATACATGCCCTCCGCCCAGCTTTTGAACCACCGTACGATCATATTCTCGCTGTATCTCCGTACAATGATAATAAAACTTGTTCTGATTCTGATTAGAGTTGTCATAAAATAGCAGTCAAATTAAACTCTATTTGTCCAAACTGAGGTAATTAAAAAAGCTTTCAAACAGGTTTTAATATCTTTCCACAAAACTCAAATTCAAAGCATCTGAACTGCTGCTTTAATAACGCCACTAAGTAAATTTTTGTCTTCTTTGTTATGGCGTTTTACTGCATATTAAATCTTACAATGTATGTGTTGGAAATGCAAGCAACAGCAGGAATCACATGAAGCTGAGTCAAGTTATTCCAATACATAAATGCATGTCTGCTACCATTTAGCTGCTCCGTCAGTAAATAAAACATATGAAACGCATTTGTTGGTCCTTTGCTATCGCTTCCATTTTCCTGTCCTCCCTGCTCTCTTTTTCTTTATAAAATTGTTTTTAGTTTTCTTCTGTATCATCTTTTGAAATTCCTCTTTGCTTTTTCTAGCTTTCTTTAAATGATTTCAGTATTTGTTTGGAATTTCTATTTATTCCTACGTTTCTAATCTTGTCACAGAATAGCCTCTGCAGCGATTATTCTTTTCCCCATTCCCACCTTGAGACCCCCATTTCTGTGGCCTCCTTGTGTATATCCACCTACCTCCTCCCTCAAACCTACCTCCTGCGTGTAACCTGGTTCTGCTGCTCTGTACCCAGTGTACCGCATCCCCTTTTTTTCTACCATTAAAGTTTTATTGCTCCCCTCCCCAGCAGCTGCAAGAATAACTCGGGCTGAGCAGACCCTTTTAAATATAGAGCAGCAGCGGGAAGGAGGGACAGGAGAGAGACTGTGTGCAAGGAACAGGGTAGAGGGAAAAAACGGATGATGGAGAGAACGAGAACAAGGAAACAAAGGAGCAATTAAGACCAGAAAACAGCAAGGATGTGAATAAGAGGGACATATGGAAGGGCGACAGTTAAAAAGACAACGACAGTAACACTCAAAGACCCTTACGTTCCACTGGTCTCCATAGCAACCATTTCCAGTGACAACAGGGAACTATTCAGCTTAATGGTTGAGTTTGAATGCATTCTGGTACCCACTTTATTATTTGATTCATGTGGTGCACATGCAAACATCTAATTTTCTTCACAGCCAGTTTTAGGTATTTGATTATTTAAGTGATATGTATTATATAAGTGTCATTGCGTTGTTTGCATGCTAATTTGTTTCACTGTAAGGTCATTTGTAATTATAGTTTTGAAATTTTACCCAAACATAAAAGTGCACCAAAACTGACAACAGTGTCCAGAAAAAAACTTAATGTTGTTGCGAAGTACTTACATAGTAGAGCAGTTCTGTCCAGCCCTCCATGGTGATGCACTGGAAGACGGTGAGAATAGCAAACAGGATGTTGTCAAATTGGGTGATGCCATAGTTTGGTCCCAACCAGTAACTCCTACAAACGGTGCCTTCTGGACACATCCGTGATGGAGGTTCGTGGCCACATGGAAACTCTTTTCGGATCTCTCCTGAACATTGATGGAAGCAAGAAATCAGAAGCAAAGGAAATGTGATTTATTTATTTATTTTAACATTAATGTGCACTGTTAACTTCTAAACGTGCTACTTTCTTAAAGGGTCCACAAAACACAAAACTACTAGGACTGAATGAGGCAAAAGCCAAATTCCAGTTCACCTCTTGTCTTTGGTGGTTAGGGGTGTCAAATTTGTCTATTTTTGGGATGTGGGTAAACGGCAAAGGTGCCATTTATTCTTCAAACAAAAGGCATATAAGTTGCATCAGCAAAGAACCTGACAAATGTTCAAAAATGATGTCATATGACAAAACCTGTTGAAAGATAACATTACATGCAAAATATAGGCATATTGTTGTATTTGTTAAGGAATCTGCACCATATGATAAATATAATCCTCTCGAAGAGGTTTCACATTATTTCCCAACATTTTAACCGCCGCCTCATTGCAGCGTCAGAAATATATGAGCCAATGGGCTGATGGTATAAAATAGGATTTGATCAAAATCTAGGAATAAAGCTTTTATGTAACAAACATTTTATAAACATTATGTGTATACCATATAAGCACAGTCAGTAGAAATAATTATTATAAATATGTTTTCCATTCAAACACATTTTGGAGTATGAGGTAAAATATCTTGCATAAAAACACCAACGATATCAACAAGCCGCCAATCAAACAGGCAACCTGAGTTAGAGCTGTCATTTCTAACTCAAACCCGGCCTGGACCGACCTGGATTAGGGCTGGGCCGTTACAATGTGATTAATGCGCAGGTCGGGTTGGTCTTGGGCTTTTCATTAGGTCAGGATCAGCCGCGATCCAATTATATGATAACATGGCCTGCCATACAACCACCAACCGTATGCAGCCATTTCACCGCAAGCTAACTGGCCTTGAAAGAGGTAAAAAGTTCAGTTAAGCTTCAGATGGGACTGTATTGCCAGGCAGCGATCCATCACCCAAATAGACGTTCATTCTGCCGCTGCACTCAGCGGACGCACGCGGCCGAAGACCCAAACAGGTGAGATCCCAAAGCAGACATGTGTGTCAGAGCTGCCCGCGTGTCTCAGTAATTTACAAGAATGCAGGCAGAAACGGGGTTTAAATGCTTTTTTACAACCATGAAAGGACAAATGCCCTCTCAGCTCCAAATCTTATGCACCTTATTCAGCTGCATGTCCCCGACCGTTAATAACTAATTAAAAATGTCGGGGGGTTTTGGGGTTCGGATCTGTAATTACATTGGGTGGGGTGGGGTGTGGTTCGGAAATTATGTCTGCGGGCTGGGCCGGGTTGGATAAAATATTTTGGGCCCGAATGCAACTCTAACCTGAGCGGACGGCGTGCTCTACCTTTTTGCTATTTATTTAGAATTCGAATAATACACAGATTTTGCTCCACTCGTGTTTGCTTTTCCCCCTGAATTAATTTCTATTTTTATCGTCGTAACTTTCTAAATCACAGCAGGGACAGATGCAGTCTTCTCTGGGGAACATAGTTAGCGCATGGGCACGCATTATCTTACCTGTGTTATTGTCAAAGCAGGTTTGATGGAATTTTCCAATGTAGAACTCCAGGCCGATGATGGCAAACATGAGGATGGCAAAGAAAAGAAGCAGGCCAATTTGCAGCAAAGGAATCATGGCCTTCATGATAGATTTGAGCACCACCTGTAAGCCTAAAGAAAGTGTATACAAAGTTAGGATTTGTATTATTATTGTAGATCATTACTTATTTTTCTGTTTTTTCCACTGGGTCCAGTTGCATAATTTTCTGGTTTTGACATGCGTGTCTGTGCTGCCCAAAACTACTCAAAACAGTCCTTGTCAGGCCACCAGATGTGCAGCAACAAGTCATATATCTGTCCATGGAGCAGCTCTCCACAACGCACAACATGCTCTTGTGGTCTACTGTATTTTTGTAAATGGACTGTACTTCAAGGATTCAAGGTTCTTTATTTGTCATGTTGACTGTACTTATACAGTGCCTTTCTATCTGACTGACACTCAAAGTGCTTTACACTACAATATGTGCCCTCATTCATACAGCACTCTACTACAGTATATCTATACAAATAATAATCTGTGCTTTATCACATTCATACACAGATGGGACACACATTGGAAGCAATGAGGTGTTGAGTGGACACTTGGGCATGTGGCTGCTGGTGGAATCAAACCCCAAACTCTTGCATTGGCGGACTGCTCTAACCACTCAGCCACAACCTCCCATTTTTGACAGAAGCTGCATTAGATGAGCTGAGAAAAAGTTCAGGAACCAGAAAGCACAAACATGAAATCAACTGGTCAGAGGGTGGTTGTCATGAATAACATACAGAAGGGGTTGACTGGAAGTATATTCCTCTTTAGATGTTCACACAGAATGATCTCCCCAATACAGTCTTCAAGACTTACATTGCACAGTCTACTAGAACATGGCTGGAGTATGGCAAGTTTGGAAAACCTCTTTTAATGTAAAGGCAATCCATCCATCCATTATCTTTTACCTGCTTCTTTCATTTTGAGTCACGGGGTCACCGGTGCCCATGTCCAACAATCACTGTGTGAGGGGCGGGGTACACACTGGACAGGTCGCAAGTCCATCACAGGGACACAGAGACAAACAAGACAAACAACCATTTACTCACTCACACCTAAGGACAATTTAGAGTTACCAATCAGCCTAATATGCATGTTTTTGGTCTGTGGGAGGAAACCAGAGTACCCGGAGAAAACCCACGCATGCATAGAGAGAACATGCAAACTACACCCAGAAAGGCCCCCGGACAGGGATTTGAACCAAGGACCTGCTCGCTGAGAGGCAGCAGATCTACCAGTTGCGCCACCGTGCTGCCTAAAGGCAATCATGATAAGGATATGCTCTTAGTTCTAAGTAAATAGTTTTTCCAACAATTTTCCTCATTCCAAAGACACTCTCCTGTACCCTCACTAGTATGTGTTCCCACACTAGTACTGCGTATGTCCACAATCACATCACGACCCATGTTCAGTTCTCGTATGACTGGCAGACCATGTCAGGTTGCAACTACTTGGTACCCTATGGGTATGCTCTCTATGCTAGGTTGTTTCCAGGACTTTGTTACAATCAGTCAAAGACTAAGCCTGATTCCAATTTTTGATGACCAAGCTGCACAAGTACAAGCAGGTCCTGCATAATGGATGCTCTGCCACTGCAGCCTGCACACGCAAAAGTCTCAAAAAATTGTCACGTCAAATGGGAGCCCACTCTGTTTTTAATATACACCTGAAGATCTCGCCGAGGCTCTGCAAAGTTAAAACATTCTGGGCGATTTTCTACCGTAGTCGAGTCGTCATCCATTGTGGAGGTGGACTTAAATCAGCTGCTAAGAAAATCAATCAAAAGAAAGGCTACAGTATAGTTGGACTTTAGGACTGTGGGATCTTGTGGACCACAGCACTGACTTTTAATCAGGACATGAATAAATTGAATAAAAGGGGTACATGTCTCCTTTATTGTACCTTAAATCGTAGTAACATTGAAACAGTTGTATGGTTTTTATTATGACAAATGGAAAGGCCGTCTGTCATTTGTGTGACATTTAAGATTTGTCATAAAATCAGCTTTAAAGAATGTATCAGTCCTTTCCAGTTCAAAATATTTGGTGGCATACAATGTCAAAAAGGCACCTACTTTACATTGAGATTCAACCTGCGATCACATAAAGTCTGAGTCAACAATTGCATATTTAGCTGAGTTTAAATCAACCATTTTTTTCTAAAATATGCCTATTGAGACAAAAAAAAATAATAATCTCTAAAGCATCATTACAATGTGAATTTGAAACTGAATTGTCTGTGCTCGGCCTTTACTAGTAAACATCATACACCAATATGACGCACTCTTTTCTAAATTTTCATTGAAACCTATGTAAGTTTTTGTGACGAGTAAGTGCTAGTTGGCCTGCTCAGGCTATAGGGCGAAACAGGCTATTATTAACACTGCAGTGGTAGTGATGCTGCAACTCTACCACTACCAGTACATTTGGAAAATGATCACATTGTGCAAAAAAAAGAGGCTTTTTTTTTCTTGGTGCATTATGCAAAACAGTACAGGAGGTGTATATGACATGAAACTAAATCCTTTTACTGTCTACGGTAGTTTAATTCTTCAAAACCTTTGTTAAAATGGTATATTAGCTGAATGATAAAAAAGCACAATAATAAATAAATAAAATATTTAAATAAAACTTACTGGGTATACCGGACACCAGTTTGAGAGGCCTCAGTACCCTCACAGCCCGAAGAGTCCGTAAGTCGAAATCTGAGCCCACAGTGGACAGAATCCTGAAGGGGAAAAGACAAATGCTTAGAAGTGTGTGCAGCAAATCAATATTCAAGCCAGTCAGGCTTGTCACTGTCAGTCAAACTCGCAGTTCCTCTCTTTCATGCACACACACCCCATACGGGGCTATTACAAGCATCTGGGTGAGCACTGTATGTAAATCCTGTAAGAGCTGAGCTGATCAATAGAGCTGACAAGTGAAGTAAGACGGAGAAGTGTATCAGGATGAGGGAGGGGCTGCGCTGAGGAGACGGTGTTCAGTATCCGGATGAAAAAGAGATGGAGAGATGCCGAGCAGAGGGAAAATGGGTTTGATGAAGGGAGAGAAAACCCGATGTAGAGAGGCAGCACTGGCAGACAGGGAGAATCAGTGATGCTGCCTTGCTTATTCAGTCTTTTCGTGTTCTTGAGCCATTTAAATTAATTCTGTCAGCCAACACAGTAAACACACTGTATTAATCCTTATCATGGACAAAAAAGTTAACAGCCAGAGAAGGTTAAGATGTTCCTCGGTGCTGTCAGACTTCCAGTCAGTCCCTTGTCTGACGCACTTTGTGAATCATCCCATTTCCCACCTCTCGCACTTTCATTCTGTCTCTGTAACACATTTCCTCTGTTTCAAAAAGATGCTCAGTGACACAGCAGAACTGTAATCACGTGTTTAAACTCCACCTGCTTTCTTTGGAATATTACAAATTAAGTTAGGAAGGCAAAGAAACCCAAATTAAGAGTCTATTTGTGGATTTGAACATAGAATTGATTCACCATGAAGGTCCATACTGATGGTGTATAGGCAAGAGTCCTTGTAATGACTTTGTGTGATACCTAATGCCTCACCAGGGGCTAACTTGCAATAGAGAGGTTCCAAGTTAGGTCACATGGCACTGATGCACTGTACCGTACTTCAGCTGTGTGTGCTGGATTGAAAGTCGTGAATGAGCGATTGTCAGAACCATACACAAGGTAGTTGCCATTAAGACTTACAACAGGGAAGTTGTTTAGAGGTAGAGCTCGAAATGGCAAACAAAATGTCAGACACTGTCAGTCAAAGTCACTGTCTGTAGACACAGAAAATTTCAAACCCTTGGATGTCTGGTAACAGCTACAGTGACACTTCAAGCTGGACTGTCTTATCGTGATGGCATTTGGTACCAAACAGAATACATTACATACAAGATTAGCTTTATGATTTGGAGATTAGAAGCAGAAATAGGGTCAAGCAAGAGAATCCATATTATTTTTAAACCAAATTGCGATGCATGTAAAATGTAGCCTAATTGTTTTTCTTGTATGTTTCCATCCTGCAGGAATTAAGACCAACAAAACGTGATTCAATAAAAGAAAACTGAAGAAATGGTGTCAGCGTCATCAGCTAGCAAGGCTGGTGGATTTTTGTAACCGACTCTTGTGGTATTTCCACGATAGTAATCAGAATGACAACTATAATACAAAGAAAAAAAAAAGGTTCAGAATGGTTTAAAAAACACTAAAAAGTTGGATTAAAAAAAATAATAATTTACAAGACCTTCCAAATATTTATCTCAAGCATGCATTAGCCTGATTAGATGTGCTTGGAAAAAGAACTCATTTGAACTAACAAAAGCTGGCATTAAAGGGAAATATGAACACTTTATAGCAAAGAATAAATAATGTGAAGTAATCACAGCGCAGGGAGAACTGAACCCAAAAATAGAAACATGAACTTGATGAAAAGTGTGAACAACCAAAATGACAAGTCAAGAATGAGACTAACCTGCATGCATACATGTTGAATGAAAAATACTGTGATTCATAACCAAGTGTGAAGTAATTCATACACTTATTAAAGTTCCTTATTTTAATTGTAAAGAGGTCTCACAGTCGTGATTCCACCGTAAACTTGTTTGTGCATTTGCATGACAAATTAGAAAATAGGCGTCTAAACGCCGGTGGTTAAAGTACCGAAAATAAACAGTAGTAGTGTAAAAACACTACAAATACAGAGTATTGATGGTGACGATTACAGTTAGTATAATAATAACACCGGGGGTAATGATAATGAGAAGAAAGGTGACAAAAGCACAGACGATGTTGATGCCTCCGATGGCGAAAACGTTGCTGATGATGATGATGATGAGGCAATCCAGAAATCAGTTTCCAAGCAGCATCTGCTGTCACAAACAGGGTCAGACTGATGAGGCAGTTCCTCATTGACACCGTCTCCACAGTTACAGGGCCCGTTCTCATTCATAAGCGTTTCCATGGCAACAGGGACCTTGGCTCATTGATAGAATCTCTGTATCACCTTGGTAACAGAGCCAAGGGAGGAGCAGAATTGATTTTTTCTTCTTCTTCTTCTTCTGTATTTAATGGGTATGTTTTCCAACTTACACAAACAAAAGCGCACGGAAACACATATCAGAACCGCACATGGGCGTGAGCTGAAACATATCGAGTGAAATAAATTAATGTACGAACGCAGGGAATGGGGTCATTTGGAGAAATCGTTGAAAAACAATATTTCCCCTGTCAGAGATAGAAGAGTACTGGGTATCCAGCTTCAAAACTAAATGAACACACGTGAACGCAAATAACTTGCACTATAGGAAGAAGGACACAAATAACGTGGAAGAATCAAACTATGCCATATTGCTCCAACACTATCTCTCCATCCATTCTCGTGGGAATCCAACACATTATACAAACAATATTTTTTGCCTGCTCTCCTTGTCTGCTTTCCTGCTGACTTCAGCTGAATGCGGCAAATTATCTGTGCTCAGATCCCTAACTAGAACACTTCATCTTTTCTCCAACCTTTAAAAATGTCTTTCCCTTGCCCTGTTCCTATAATTGAAACAGTTTGTGTTTAATGTATGAGCGTGATCTTGAATTTTCCCTTAGTTATCTAGATGAAGAAAAAACATTGTCGGATTATTCAAAGTTTTGGATCTACAACGTGCATATGTAAACGAGTTTAACGAAGCACCGCTTTTTCATTCCTGAAGACCATTAGGGTCAAATTTAGATGATGACATCAACACATAATAAATAACAGGACATTTATAGAACGTCCTAGACAGCATTTAATATTATGAATATTAAAGCTGTATGTTTTTCACTGGCTTCAAGACATATTTTAAACTAGAATATATACTCCTTAAGGGCAGTTCAGAGGTGAAAATTGTAAAATGGTCAAATGACGGCAAGAGAGGTTTACTAGATTTTCCATTTCCTCACATGTAGATTAAATAGATGAATGTTGATTGATGAATTTCAAGTAATTTCAAAAACACTGACAAATATCCTATTACGTTTTTGTCCTTGGTTCTACATGTATGTTCCATCTAATGAAATGGGAAGGCATAGCAGAGGACGTTTTACAAGACAAGTATGACCATAAGCTAAGGATAACTTATGGTGGCCCTGAAGTGTAAATGAACAACATTTGAAAAAACAGAATTACATTTGAAAAAACATACTAAAAACAACAAAAACACAACAATATTTGAAAAAATTGAATTACATTTGAAAAAACAAAATTATATTAAACCAAAGTGGAAGTGGCTGGAATCACATTAGAAAAAAACTGAATTACATTTGAAAAAAACGGAATAATTCAAAAATTATATAATTTCTGTTTTTTCTAATGTGATTCCCTTTTTTCAAATGTAATTCTGTTTTTTCAAATGTGATTGTGCTTTTTCAAATGTGATTCTGTTTTTCTCTAATGTGATTCTGTTTTTACAAATGTAATTCAGTTTTTTTTACAAATGTAATTCAGTTTTTTTTTCTAATGTGATTCAATTTTTTTTCAAATGTAATTCCATTTTTTCAAATGTGATTCTGTTTTTTTTTCTTCTAATGTGATTCAAGCCACTTCTGCTTTGGCTTAATGTAGTTGCGTTTTTTCAAATGTAATTCTATTTTTTTTTTAAATGTTGTTCATTTACACCTTAGGACCACCATAATAACTGGACTAATAATCAATACTGGAAATTAGACACAACTAGCCTGTTCCTTGTGCCAAACCACTGTAGTGGTTTACTATAATATATAGGTCAACAGACTGTATGGGTGCATACAAATGAGCTGACATTCAAAAAGACTGGAGAGCGGCGAACGTATCTTGCCATTTGTTTCCAGACATGTTAGATGTCATTCAAGCGCTTGCATGTTGGGAAACGAGCAGCTGAAAGTGCACAAAGGGTAAGCAGAAAATGGAAAGAAATGTTTGAAATGGAAATGTGTTTGTGTGTGTAGTGCAATGAGGGGAGTGGGCACTTATCCATGTGTGTGTATGAACATTGGACTGTGTGTTATCAAAGGTTTCTAGCAGAGGTAGAAAGAAAGGCCAAGTAGTGTTTCATCTTCAAAGAGCAGAGAATGAACAAAAAAAAAGAAAGAATGAAAAAGCTCAACCACAAATGTGTGTTGAGTGTGTGAGAATAGGATGTTGCTTCAGTCAGTTTATAAAGTATCATGGGAATGTCCCCTAATACATACTATATGTAAGAGCTGCACCATGATTACTTCAATCACAGCTTTTATATATATATATATATATA